GTGAGGCTGAGAAAAAGAAATGAGAGAGAGTGAGTTAGGAATCAGATCAGAACTCTGATGAAATGATATTGAAGGTGAGAACTGAAGGTTTAGGAGCTAGACCCACACAGGTCTGGGAGAAGGGCACTCTAGGTCGTGGGAACTCTATATTACCTTGCATCTCACAGCTCCATTTCACAGATGAGGAAACTGAGGCTATGAGTTTAAGAAAATGACATTGGCCCAATCTCTGACTTTCACTGAAGGAAGGAATGAAATTACACAGGCATTCTATAAACATTTTCTCATTTGATCCTGACAACAATAAACTTTTGATGGTAACGTTCTCATTTTACAGACGAGGAAATTAAAGAAAGTTATCAAAGGTCATAGAGGTACTTCGGTCTGTTTATTTATACTCTGCCTCATTCCAGATGAACTTGCACTCAGATTTGAGCCTCATCTGTCTGGTTCCAAAGTCCAAGCTCTTTGCCCGCCACACTAGACTGATGCTGAACGTCTGAGAGCTGGCGATGTAACAGCCAGACAGACAGACAGAGACACCCAGAGCAGAGGCCGAGTCTGAAGCGTGGGGAGGCTATTATTTCTGGAACACCCCCTCCTGGGCCTAGCACCAGACCAGGATCCTCATGGATACAAACATACATTCCACATCTATTTTATTTTATTTATTCAGCTCTGGAGATAGAGCAGTGAGCTTGCAGACAAAAGCCTCTTCCTGCACGGGGCTGGCAATTAAATGGGGAATTGAGTGAGCCACACAAATGATTATAATAGTAGACAGAAAACAAAATGGAAAAATAGAAGCTCTTGGTAAGCTTGGGTCAAAGAAGGAAGATGTGTACTTGGGGTGGGGATGGGAGCCAGAGAAACCTTTTCACATGAGGGAACTTTTGAGTCTAGTTTCAGTTGTGCCCATCTGTAAAATGGAGATAATGATAGGCTCTACTATATAGGGCTGTTGTGAGGATTAAATGAGGTCATGCCTGTGAACTATTTAGGGGAGTACCTGGTACCTAGGAAGTCCTAAATAAGTCTTACTACCTTCTCCACGCCTTCTTGTAATAAATATTATCTAGTGTCTTAGTTTGGGCTGCTATAATAAAAAGACCTTAGACGGAGTGGCTTAAACAGTGGACATTTCTTTCTCACAGTTCTGGAGGCTGGGAAGTCCAAGATCGTTACCAGCCAGTTGGGTTCCTGATGAGAGCCTCGTCCTGGTTGTCTCACATGGTGGGGAGAGAGAGAGAGGAAAGCAAGCTGTCCCGTCTCTTCTTATAAGGGCACTAATCCCAACATGAGGGATCCACACTCCTGACCTAATCACCTCCCAAAGGCCCCACCTCCAAACACCAAGACACTGGGGATTAGGCTTTCAACATATGAATTTGAGGAAGACACAAACATTCAGTCCATAGCATATAGTTTGTAATAAACAACAAAATCTCCTTTGAAGACTTCCCATTGCCCATGGTATAAAGTCCAAAATTCTCAACATGCCCTGTAAGGCCATGCCAGACCTCCCCTGGGCTTCCTTCTTGGCCTCACCCTTCCTCACGTTCTCTCCGCTCCCTCTGGCCCTACCAGGCTGCCTTCCCTGTCCTGCTTCAAAGCTTCTCCCATGCTGTCTCCTTTGCCAGAAATCTTTGTTCACACTCCTTTCTCCCCTCCCATCCTTGGCCAGTCCTTTCTCATCCTTCAGGTCCAGGGTGTTCCTCTGGGAACTCCCACATTGAGAGGGAGGACTGTCTGAGTCCTGGACTGTCTGTCTCATTCATTGCTGCAGTGCCAGCATCCAACAGTGTCTGGGACAGAGTAAGCACTTGATAATGTTGACACAGACAGAAAAAAAGAGGTTCCTCCTTGAAATGTGAGTTTAGATCCCCAGAATTGGGACAGAAGCTCAAGGCTCCCCGCAACAGGAACCACTAGTGAGGTCAGAGGTGATTCAGACATGAGGGGAAAGAATTTCTGCTGCTATAACCAGCTGCGACATGGTTTTTCTCAGGACAGGGGCATCACACACAAGCAGACTTGAGAAAAGATAGAGCACTCAGGCAGTGAACTTACTCTTCTCCCCAGAGAGGTGGAGTGACTTGCCCAAGGTCTCCAGCCACGGGAGAGGGGATGGGAGTGAGAACCTCTTCTGCTCCTTCCAGCATGGCAGCTGTTGCCTCCCACCTCAGGAAGAGAAAGTCGAGACAGGAAATTGTAAGACTGACACAGGATGGTGACAGACTATGAAGAGGACCTAAAGGTTCAGGCTTGTGAGACCTCAAGCAAGTCATTTCCCATCTCTGGTCTTTATTTTCACCATCTGTGATAAGAGAGTGTCTTGGGTCACATACCTTCGCAAGCAGACTCTGGGATGGAAATTTGAATACAGGAGGTTTAGTGGGGATCAATATCATAGGAGAGTGAGAAGCAGCAGGACTGGGCAGAAGAAATTGGGCTGCAGTGCTGGCCTCGGGTGATCCTAAAGGGAGCGCTATATGAGATAATCCTTCAGAGTTGTTTCCAATGGAGGCAAAGGGGCCAGGCCTTTGTATGCTCCTCTCCCATTAACCAGTTGTTGGAGGCAGACTGCCTGGAGGGGGCATAACCGTGAGCTAGGTAACTCCCTTCCACCCAGGGCCATTCCCAGAGAGGGACTCAGTTGAGATCCCTCCCAGTGGAGTGGGGTGTGTGGCAGGAATGCATGCCACAGTCTGGGTTGCACACCACAACATCCTTTATAGAGGAATGTAGATTAGCAGTTTTCTAACTCCGTTCCACGGCTTCCTCAGGTTCGAAGAAGGTGCTTCAGTGGGTGAGAAACTGCTTGTCTTGGATGTGTTTTAGCTTCTGCAAAAGTCCGACATATTCCTTGGAAGAATAAGCTTTGCTGCTAGGTTATAAATGCTCTTATAGCCCTTCATGTTTCTCCTTTGAGGTGCCAATCACAATTATAATTTAAATAATTAGTTGTGTAACGATCTAATGTTGTCTCCTCCATTAGACAATAAACTCCAAGAGGACAGGAACCATGCCTGTCTTGTTCACTGCCCTGCGTCCAGGGCATGTTACATATGAGGTGCACAACACCTGTGGAATGAATGATCTTGCCATCAGAACACCAGAGAAGCTGCGAAAGATGCAAATTTCTCACCTCTACCTCCAACCACTGGTCCTCTAGGCACAAAAAGTTCATGAACCACTTCTCCATTCCACCTGTCCTAGGGCTCGAGTGAATGTTTGAAACCTGCTGGAGAGGACTCACTCAGCCCGTTTCTACCCACTCAAACCAAGCATGTCCTCAAAGCATGGCTTCAAAAGCCAAAGAAAAGAATCAAGCCACCAGCAACCTTCTGTAAACTCCTGCCCGGGTCCTGGAATGCAGGCTGCAGACGTCTAGAAAATAGATTCGCCAGACTCTGTCTCGAGCCAAGAGTTTTCAATTCCACATACAAATGGACTTGAACATGATGAGAGAAAAAAAAACCAGACTGAGGGCAAAGGGACTTTGGAGAGAAAAGTAATGTGATACAAGAGCTCTAGAATCAGACTGACAAGGATTCAAGTCCTACCTCAGTTGCGTGGCCTTGGGCAGGTATCTCAATACTGAATGGCTCCCTAGTGCTAGGTGCCAGGTACCTGAACGGTGCTAGGTGGTTGTCATGCATTATTTAATCCACACAACCCTCCTGTGGCCCATTGCATTATGAATTATTGTTTTAATTCCACTTCATGGATAAGGAAGTTGAGGAGGGAGAACTGAAATAACTTCCTGGTGGTCAGACATTAAACGTCAAAGCTGGAATTTGATCCCACATCTGTCCAACTGTTAAGTTGGTGTTCCCTCAACTCTCACTTTAAGTTCCTTTTCCACGTCTGTAAAATGGGAACACCACTCCTTTCTCACGGGGTTGTTGTAAATATAGATAAAATTTGAAAACATCTGGCAGTGGTCACTCAGTGCTACCTGGGAAAGAAATGAGAATGTTTTGCTCCCGTTTTTATGGCAGAGGAAACTTGAGGCACAGTGAAATTAATCACAGCCACTGCCCTCGGATAATGAGTGACTAAGTCAGAACCAGAATCCAAGTTCTATACTCCAAGTCTGATTTGCTTCCTCTCACGCTCTCTCAAAGGACTCTAGTGAAGATCAAGTGGATAGGACACTGCAAAAATGAAGAGGGTAAAGGGAAAAGAGGACATGGAGTCAATCAAGGGAGGCTTCCTGGAAGAGACAGATTTCACTTAATGACGGCAATGTTTAGAGGAAGTGGGAAGCCAGCAAGAGAGATCTTAGCTCTTAGTCATGATGTGGTTTTTCTGATAAGCTTGCTCGAGTTCCTGTGCCCAGAGAAGCTAAGAAGCTTGACCAAGGTCACACAGCTACTAAATGGCCCTGGCACAACTTGGGGGTCACAGCTAATTCCTTATGCCTTGTTCTGTCTCCTTGGTACTGGAGAGGGAAGGATAAGAAGCAGGTAAGCATAACGTCGTGGGGCAGGGGACACAAGGGATCCACCCAGAGATTCTCAGCCTCCCTCTGCCACAGGGGGAGCACTGTAATGCGAAAAACAGTAAGGTGAAAAGCCAAGGCCTCAGGGTCAGACAGACCCTGCTTGGAATCCTGGCTTCCCCGCTGACCACCTATGTGGCCTCAGCAATGTCACTTTACCTCTGAGTCTCACCTCTCTCCCAGGATTGTTGCAGATTCAGAGAAATGGCCTCCCAGAACCCAGCCTAGGGCCCGGCTTAGTGAGAAAAATAACATGGGTATTATTATTCCACAATGCCAGGCCAGCCACAGATGGGTTGGCAGGGCTGGACCCCCAAGGGACAGAAGTAAACTTTCAGTGCCAGCCACTCCCAACCCTGCAGTCACCGGGCGCAGGTGCCCAGCAGGGGAGGGACTAGCAGGTCAGGTCCATGATGCAATTATAGCTCCCTGCTTTTGCTAAGTGGTGAACCATGACCCTTAGGAAATGGAAAAACAGACCACGAACGAGAAGTACAAAACCAAACCTCGGTGAACTTTTATTTCTCATTATACGGAACTGGGAGCAAAGCCAAGATTTCTGTCCTTGAACACTGGATACCCCCCCCACCCACAGGGGGACACTTACAGAGTCATCATGTCCCCTCGAATCTAAACCCCAGTGCTGGGGCCTCTCCAGTCCCACCCAGCATCGCTGCAGGGAGGGCTGAGGCCTGCAGGGGCCAGGCGCTTCCCCATGCCTGCACGGGCGTGAAATGTGGTGCACTGACTCGGCTCCTTTCCTGGCCGCTCCGCAGAGCAGGGTCAGAAGCAGCAGCATCCTAGCCCTTGCCCTTCTCCGGTCACCTCCGAACTGGTCAGAGAGGAGGCACGTTCTGCCAGAGGAAGGGCAAGAGAAGTCATAATTCACAGCTTATTTGCTACAGAAAGTGCCTGGGATCAGTCCTTGGCTGCTTCTGCCTCCAAGCAATCCACCGAAAATTGAGGTGAGGCGAGAGAAAGTGGGATGGGAGGGAGGGGTCCTTGGAAGGTCACAAGGGCAGAACTGGCTGCAGGAGTGGGGGTCCCCAGAGGCCTCAATGATCCTGCAAAATTCGCAGTTTGTTGCTGGCAGGATGGCCTGGGAATCCCAGAGTGAAGACTCAGACGTCATAGAAACGTAGTCCTGCCCTCAGTCTGCGACTGTGGAAACGGAGATCAAAGAGGTTTGGCAACATAGCCGTGGTCACTTGGCTAGTGGCAGGGCCCAAACAAGAACCCTGGGCTCTCCTGCCTCTCTTCCTGGGCCACGTGCCACCAACAGAGGCTCAACTTTTTGGCAAACGTCTGCGGCAGAGCCACAGGAGACAGGAGAGCCTGGGCCAGCCTCGGCAGGGCAGGCACAGCTCTGGGGAGAGCACGTTTCTCCCTGTCCTCTTCCTCTCAGGCATTGACTGTGGCTCCAGGGGTGGGGCCCTGAAGAACATTCCCCATAAAGAAGCAAAATACAGAGAATTTATAATATAATACTCGCTCCTCTTCCGAAGGCAAAGTGACCAACAGAGACCAAACTCTAGAGAGAATCTGTCTTTTTGATGTGCTTGGTCTCTCTCCTGGGGCCTCGCACCACCAGGCACAGGAGAAAAGGGTGAGAGGGCAAAGGAGGTCAAAGGAACTGAACTAGGACTGGGGTAACCAGGGAACAAAGGGCCTCGGGCTGCCTGACAACAGACTTTTAGGGAGCCGGACGCACAGACCAGCTGTGACCCCGACTTTCACATTGACAGGTGAATGGCAGGTGGGAGGTAATGCAATCTGGGAATGAGGGAGGAGGAGGAAAGGCCAAGCTGATTGGAGTGTCAGTCCCTGGAGCTGTTTGCCCCTCTCCCTTGGGGGCCAGCCAGGGACTTCCCAGTCTAGGAAGGCCACAGTGCTTGTGGTGCCTGGTCACACAAGCCCAAGCCTGCTGGCACACAAGTCCAAGCTCAGCCCATTTTTCCTTCCTGTGCTCTCTGTCTCTGTGGTCAGGGGCAGGAAGAAGGGCATGCCCCCTGGGGATCTGCTAGTCCTCTTCCAGCTCCCAGGGGCAGAGCTGAGATCCCAGAGTCAGTACAATGATCCTGTCCATCCCAGTGAGAAAAAGTGGGTATGGCTTGGGGGCTGCACATCACACACAAGCCAAGCCCCAGAGAGGGGTGGGGAGCATGGAACAGAAAGGGATCGGGGTCTGTTTCCAGACAGAAGTCCTTGCAGGGAGGAGGATGCGCCCAGGGTCAGCGGCTCTGGACCCAGGCCCTGGCGGGAGTCAGGTCATGTAGCGAGTGATGGCACGGAGGGCGTAGAGCAGGGCAGCTTGCATGCGGGCCTCCAGGAGCAGCAAGTTCACGTGGACCTGGGGCACAGAGGAGGGCTTGTGGGTAACTGATGTCACTCCTTGCCATCCCCATCCCTCCCCGATTGCCACTATCCCTGACCACTCACTGCATCCTGCCCTTTACTAGAGAGATGCCCTGACCTTTCCCAAGGTTCTGAGCGGTTCAGTGCAATGACTGCTGAAGAATTTCAAGCACATTCATCCCTATCATGACTCATCTCTTTATCCCTCCAAGCTAAAAACAAGAGCTACCACTGAGTACCTATTTGGGACCAGAGGTTTACATTCATTTTCTCATTTCATCCTCCCAGGAACCTTGAAATGCAGGCAGTGTTTATTCCCATTGTAAAGATAAAAAGCTCAGAGAGGCAAAGTGAGTTGTCCAAGGTCACACTGCTACCAAGCGGTAGTGTTATGATTTGAACCCAGGTCTTCCTCACTGCCACTGAGGACCCTGTGAAGCACATTCCCATTTTACAGGTGAGTAAATGGAGTCTGAAATCACACAGTGGAGTAGGTCTTGAGCCTAGAACAATACACCCAGGTGTCCCACCTGGCAGGACAGACTCAGTCTGGGGTACCTCATTGGGCCCTGACCCCTTGCACCCTCCACAGGCCGGGCTTGTCTACTTCTACTCTGCTCCTCCCCCACGGGTTGTACCTTCTCTGAGTGGCGGAAGTGCCTCCAGAAGAGGTTGTACATTCTCCGGGTGGTCTTCTCTGGGTAGCAGGCCACCGTCTTGATGTAGACCTTGAGGTTCCGCTCCAGGAGCTGGTTCACCTCCCCATAGTCATAGTCATCGTATCTGGATGGAAAGCCCCCAGAGCATCACTCAACCTCCGCTCCCAAAAGTGGCTCCTCTCCCTACCCCCACCCTACAGAAGGAGGAACAGAGAGAGGCAAGAAAAGGCAGAAGGTAGGAGGCAACTAGAAGCTTGGTTCCTCTTAGAAAAACAGCTGACGTCATATATCACAGGCCACCAGACTCGCAAGGGACCATCCCAAGCAATGCACAGAGAATGAGCATGTATTGAGTACCAACTACATGCCATGTGAACACGTGCTCATGGAATCCTCAAAACTGTACACTACTGTGTACAAAACTATTGTATAGTATTGTATAGTATTCATCGGGCTCATTTTATAGATCAAAGTGAGATTCAGAGAACTGAAGTCACTTGCCCTAGGTCACACAGCTGGGAATGGGATTCAAACCCAGCTCTCCTTGGCTCCAAGGTCATTTTCACTACTTTATAGTAAAGACCACGGAAGAGGGGGCAGGGGGTGAGTGCAAATATTTACCCTGGAGAAGGAAAAGAGAAAGAGCAAAAAGGAGCTGGTGCTCATTTTACGGATGAGCAAACTAAGGCCTGGAGAAGGCAATTAACTTGTTCAAAGTCAAAGAGCAAGTCAGTGATGACAAGTCTAGAAGCCACTTTGTCATTCCCCAGTCCAGTGAGCCAGTGAGTCATCACAGATCAGTGTGGATGGGAGAGAGAGGTTGAAAACCGGAGGACAGAGTTGGTAGATGAAGATACAGGAGCAAGGACCGTGACAGAGAGTGGAGGAGGCTGGACTTGAGAGCTGGGCAAGAACTAGCTTGTGCCACACTCCGAGATGCCCATCCATCCTTGGCCTCCTCTGGGTTAGAAACCTGCCAATGACCAGCAAGAGGCTGGCCAATTAAGTGCAGCTCAACCCGCTGAGTGAAATATGATTTACAGCTAGTAATATACAGAAATACACATTTTCTACAGGGAACATGTACCTTTTTAAAAATTGGGGGATGTTTTTTGATGCTTCGAATAAATAGATGAGAAAAGCAAGAAGAAAAATCATGTAATCATGTGTTCATTAAAATATGTTCACATTTGATTAAATGAGTAAAATAAGTGAAATAAGTAGGCAAGAAAATCTTTTTTTTTTTTGTAAAATTATCTATGTTCTAGTTATTTGTGTATGGAAAAAAGACAGGAAGAAAAAACAATAATAATAGCAGGTGGGATGACGGATAATTTTTATTTTCTTAACTTTTTGTTATCTGTTTTCTAAACTTACTAAAAACCTGTCTCTTTTTACAAACATCAAATATATATAGGGGCCGGCCCGATGGCGCAGGGGTTAAGTGTACATGTTCCGCTTCGGCGGCTCGGGGTTGGCTGGTTTGGATCTCGGGTGTGGACGTGGCACCACTTGGCAAGCCATGCTGTGGCAGGCGTCCCACATATAAAGTAGAGGAAGATGGGCACAGACGTTAGCTCAGGGCCAGTCTTCCTCAGCAAAAAGAGGAGGGTTGGCAGCAGATGTTAGCTCAAGGCTAATCTTCCTCAAATAAATAAATAAATAATATATATATATATATAAAATAACCATTATAATTTCAACTGTACAAAAGCAACTATGTAAGAAAGAAAAAATGCAATAGAGAAAAATGTCACAGGATGTGGACATGGTTGTGGAGTAGTAGAATTTTAGGAAATCGTTTTTTTCCTTGATTCTTCGAATTTCCCACAATGTTATCAGAGTGAGATTTTTTAAAATAAAAAAATAATTGTTCTGTGTATATCCTTGACAAGAAATTTCACATCTAGGGTTTATCTACAAGGACTTGGGTCTAACACTATTCAGTGTACGTGGTGTTCGTTAATAGTGAAAAAACTGCAAACGACCTAAATATCCAACAATAGTGAAATGGTTGAATAATTATGCTTCATCCATACAGACACCATGCAGTGCTTAAAAAGCATAAAAGGTCTATTCATACTGACAAGGAAGGTGATTCACAAGAGACTGTTAGGTGAACAAAGCAAGTTGCGGAATATATTGAGTATGATCTCAGCACTGAAAAAGAAAAACCTACTCAAAAAAAATCAGAAAATACTTCGGTAACAAGATGAAAATGTAATTCATCCCAGTCTACACAGAGACAACCATTATTAAATAACATCTTAGTGTACAGCCTTCCACACATTTTCCATGAATGCATCCGCTTTTTTGTTTCCTTAGGAAAATTAGCCCTGAGCTAACATCTGCTGCCAATCCTCCTCTTTTTGCTAAGGAAGACTGGCCCTGAGCTAACATCCATGTCCATCTTCCTCTACTTTATATGTGGGACACCTTCCACAGCATGGTGTGCCAAGCGGTGCCATGTCTGCACCCGGGATCCGAACCGGCGAACCCCGGGCCGCTGAAGTGGAACAAGTGAACTTAGCTGCTGCACCACCAGGCCAGCCCCAAATACATCCGCTTTTAGAAAAGAAAAAAAAAGGGAACAAAAAGAAGATCCTAGTTGGTAACCAGCTTTCTTGTCTCTCAATACATTTTGAACACTTTCCCAAGGCAATATAAAGAGATCACTATTATAATTTTTAATAGCTGCATAATATTTCACTGAATGGATACATCGTTATTTAAAGCTCCCTGTGGACAGGCATTTATGTTGCCCTTATTTACTGTGAGAGAAGAACTGCTATGTAGAATGGAAATACAAATATAACTATATCTATATCTATATAGTTAGATATCTCGATAGTTATCTTCAGGGAGTGGAATTAAAGGGTTTCATTTACAAAGTTCAAATAGTCAGCACGTCTATTATTTTTTATAACCAGCAAAGAAATATATTTGCTTTGAAAAACAGTATAGGTAGGAAGAAAGGGAAAGAAAAACAAAGAGAAAAACAAACAACTGTGAGCTCAGACTGAGAACTTACAGGGCACACACACCCTGGATAAGGGGACAGGTGCTCACCTGATGCCAAAGACACAGTGGATGTAATTCCAGATGGCCCTGCGGAGCATGGAGGTGTCCACTCCAGTGTGCATGGCCATGGTGTTGTAGGTGAGGCTGTAGGCTGCCTGGAACTTCTCATCCAGCAGCTGCCCACCCTCGGGGTAGAGCCGCTGGATCAGTGAATAGCCATGGTCTTCCCAGGTATAATCCTGAGAAGCATGAGAAGGGGTCAGTGAGTAGAATCTTTGGGGCCTGAGGCTGGCCAGAGAGACTCTCTCCTCTGGAGCACGACCTGGCTCTCCATAATGCTGCCTCCCTACTGCAAATCTAAGCCGCTGCTTGGCCTGGGCCTGAGAGGCCGAGGAAGATGCACCTTGTTGATGACCTTCTCCCTGTGATCAGGATCCCCTGAGCTTAGGGCGCAGATAGGACCCTTCATGATCCAGGGTTCCCCATTTCCCTCCTGGAATCTTCAGGGAGAGAAGGTGCCCACCCCTGCTTGTTTGTAAACCCGGAGCAATGCCAAGACTAGCAGGGAGAGCCTACCTGGGCGCGGAAGGTGGGGGGTGCCTCAGCCCCTCGCCGGGTGAAGTCCTCATACCCAAAAGTGGGGTCTTCCACAAAGCACAGCATGTCTGGGTGTGGAGAGGGCTCCAGAATGTCAGCTGAGGATGTCAGAGAGAGATCACAGTGAGGCCAAGGCATGGAGCACAGAGGCCTCCACTCCTGATTAATCATCAATAGGGTGCCAGGGAATGCAGAGCAGAGGGCCAGAGCAGGCAAAGCCCCTTGGGACACTGAGTGGAACCAGGACTTCAGCTGGAGCCAGGCCTGGGGGAGAAGGTAGACCAGGCCCACGCACCTGGGGATAAGGCCCCCAGTGATAACAACAGCAATCACAGCAGTAGTAATTTATGGAGCTGCCTACCCTGAGCCAGGCTCCATGCTAAGAGCTTTGTTTCACTGTCCCATTTACCCTACACACCAATCTTTCATGTGGGAGCAGACTGAGACCCTGAGATAGGAAGTGACGTGTCAGTGATCACACTGCCAGAAAAGTTAAAAGGCCAGGACTCAAACCCAGGTCTGACCCCAAAGCTCATGCTCAGAACCTCTTGGAAGGGGTGGTTGAGACATGGCTGCCTCCAAAATACAAGAGGTGCAGTGCATGGCGGTGCCTACTCCCCAGCACAGACGGTGTGGGAAGAGGACAGTCCCTGGAACTGGGACACCTGTGATCCTGTACCTGAGGGGGTCACCAGCAGGCTCTCTGACTTCTCCAGCTCAAAGCGGCTCTCCATCTCCTCCTGGGATGCTCCCTCGTCCCGCAGCAGGCTTTCCTGCAGCTGCCTCATGCGTTCCATCAGAGCTTCCACATCCCGGGCCGCCTCAAAGCCCTGGAGCAGGGACCCAGTAGTGACCATCTACTCTTCCCTCGGCCCCAGGAAACCGCACATCTTTCCCACACGCCAGGCCTTGCCAAATGATCATAAAGGCCTAGTGTCTCCTCTGAGCCAGCCACTGTGCTGGGCAGCTCACATGGTCTGTGTTCCCCAGAGTGAAGTTTAAAAAGCTACAGAATAGACATGTTTTCTCTGAGCATCCACTTCCCTCACAGGTAAGGGATTTTTAAAGTATCTATGTTATTATATTAAAATAAGCAAGGCCACCTTATAGAATAAGAGGCAAACTTTGTATTTTTAAAGGTGCCAAAAACCTGGAGACTTTAAGCCTATGGGGCTACATGCCGAGAAGCCAGTCACATAGTTATTTCATTTAATCCTCACAACCCGCTATGAAGTAGAGGTCTTTCTCCTCATTTCACAGATGAGGAAATCGAGCTTCAAAGTCAAATAACTTTTCTAAGGCCTCCCCCTGTGAGATAAGGAAGCAGTGGCTTCTACCGAAGGACCAGAGGCCACACCAGCTTCCTCTCCCACCAAGACCCAACCCACGACTTACCCCAGAGTTGTTCAATGGGTCCCTGCTGGGGGGGCTGCTCTGCTCACTGGGGGGTGAAGGTGCCTGGGGGGCAGGGCTGCCCTCCGGGTCCCCCTCAGGGAGGATGCCACAGCCAAACACGAAGGAGGCCAGCGAGTGGCAGTGGGTGAGCAGGACCAGAGCCTGGATGAGCTCCGCCAGGGACCAGCTGTGCTCGCCGGTCTTCAGCAAGGCCTGGAGAGGAAAGAAGGCCAGACTTGCTCAGTGCCTGCCCCTGGGCTGCCTGCCAGGCCCCAGCCCAACCCCTGTGCTCCCTCGGGGACCTGCCTCTCTGCCCACTGCACCTGGATGTGCTCCTTGGTGATGAGCCATGGCCGATGTGCCAGCAACTTGTTGATCTCACTGAGCTTGCGCAGCTTCTCAGGAGCACGGTGGAGCCCAAGCAGCCACTCAGGGTCACCTCCGGTCTGCAGAAACTCGGCCATGTGGGAGCCCACCAGGTAGGAACACTGGTGGCGGGCGGCAGCCTGTGGAGGTGGTAGACAGAGCCTAGGTCACCGTCTTCTTTCTGTGCCCTGCTCGGGGTGGGCACCCCATGGAGGGAGACATCCCAGGACTCGCTGTTGCCTGAGAGGCAGGAAACTTAGGTTCTAACCCCAGCTCTGACACTGATTTGTTGTCCTACCTTGGCAGGTCACCCGACTCCATTATGCCTCAGTTTCCCAACCTGTAAAGCAGGCACTGAAGAGGCCTCTCTTCAAAATCTAAGGTTCTAGGGATGATCAGGTAAAACCTGGGCTTTCTCCTGCTCTATGCTGCCTCTCTTCCTCATCTATGGATCAATTCAGCAGGCCCACAGCAAAGAGATCTGAGGATAGAACCCCCACCATGTGGTCACCCCTCTAAGAGCCAGGCTCAGACAGGCTCACCATTATGGCAATGTAGTGGCGCCAGGAGCTGGCCAGGGGCCCATCTGTGTGTAGCAGCAGGTAGTGCAGGCGCCAAAAGCTGCTAAGGTAGTCGGGGTGCAGGCCCATCACCACTGCCAGGTTGTCCGCCCGCCCCGAGGACATCAGCGCCTCCAGCCGCAGGTGCTGCTCCAGGCTCTCAGCTCCCTCCTGAAGGACCTGCCAAGCAAAGGTGAGGAGAGCACGGGTCCCCCTCCTACCCACCCCACCAGAGACCAACATAGTCATTGCAGTGGGATTATAATAGCAAGGAGCCGAAAACAACCACCATGTCCAAAAAAAGGAGAAGAGGGGAGGAAAAGATATTTCATTAAGTGACTGAATAAATAGATTATATTAGTATATAGTATAGATAGTATATTAAAGTACAGTTTCTGCTGCCTTCCTGAAGCTTCTCTTCTAACAGTGCAAATCCATGCAACCATGGGAGGGGGGTAGAAAATAGTTCACATTTCCTGAGGGCTTTCTCCGTACCAGGTCTGAGCTTGGAGCTTTCCTTGCATTAGCTCATTGAATCTTCCCAGTTCTCCTGTGAGGTGAATACTATTATTTTCCCCCACTGACAGCTGAGGAAATTGGGGCCCAGAGAGGTTTCATTCTTTGCTCAAGGTTACAGATCTAGTAAATGCCAGAACCAGGATTCAAATCCAGATTAACCCCAAAGCCTCTTTCTTTCCTTTATTATAAAGGAGGAGTGGTTATTTATAAGAGATAAAATATAAGAACGCTACTTGAGCTTCAAATTCTGGGCTCCAGACATAAAAAACCAGGTGGTTGTTTGCTTTGCATTTACAAAGGGTGGAGGGAGCTAGGGGGTTTAGACATTTGTTAACAGCTCATTAACTACTTGGCCTACACGTTTAGGAAAGGAAAGAGGACAAGGAAACAAAACATTTGTCTTTGTTCATTGAAAGCCAAAGCAAAAGAAGGAAACTGTTGTTTTTTAATTTTTCTCTGCATGTGTTTAGAAGGTACCCCCCCACTACCAACCCCACTTTAGAATGTCAGCTGCATGGTGGCAAGGATTTTTGTCTTGTTCCCTGCTGCATGCTCAGCACCTAGGACAGTGCCTGACACAGCTTAATCCTTCAAAAGGTATCTGCTAAATAAATGAATGGGTGATCTGATTCAACAGATGAAAGATGTCTCTGTTGTATTAAGTGAAAAAACAAAACGAAACATAAAAACAACCAAAAAGAAAAATATGTTGTAAACTATGACCTTGGTTCTGTATGGAAAAAAGTCTGGAAAACAGTAGCAAATAGTTAACTAGCAGTGATTATCTCTGTAGGAGGTGGGATTACAAGAGATTAGAGCTTTCTGAAACATTGGAAATTTTTTAAATAATCAACATATATTACTTTTGAAGTCGAAAAAAACTTTAATATATATGCACAAAGAAGAGAAGATAAACATAGATAGTTCTATCTTCTTAAGGAAAAACAGGCCTTGTTCTGGGAATCAAAAGTTTGTTCAGGGGCCGGCCCCATGGCCGAGTGGTTAAGTTCACGTGCTCTGCTTCAGTGGCCCAGAGTTTTGCTGGTTCGGATCCTGGGCGTGGACATGGCACTGCTCATCAGGCCACATTGAGGTGGCATCCCACATGCCACAGCTAGAAGGACCCACAACTAAAATATACAACTATGTACCAGGGAGCTTTGGGGAGAAAAAGGAAAAATAAAATCTTTAAAAGAAAAAAAAAAGTTTGTTCAATACCTAGCTGTGTGACTAACACTTCATCTCTTTGAGCCTGTTTCTTCCCAGCAAAATGAGGCTAATACTCCTGCTTTGCAGATTAAATGAGTCAGGAATCTGAAGGGGTGGTTTCAAAGCTGCTATTTCAAGAGATAGGAAAAGACCCTCACCCACCCAATGCCCCATGTCCTTTCTTCCCAGGGACCAATTCCTAACCCCTTCCAAGCTTACCTCCTCCACTGGGATGAAGGCGCTGGGCCCTCGGGGGCCTCGCCGAGCCTGGCTCTCCCTCTGCTCCTAGAAGGAAGCACATCACAGTTCGTTGAAGGTAAAGGGGAGGACTAAGAGGATATTTCTCTCTCCAGTTTTCTCCTCCTATGTGAGAGGCCATACTGAGCTTTCAAAACCACCTTTCTGGTGCACCCTGCATGGAGGAGTCAGGTGGGAGATATATGCCTGTTTGGTGGGCGGAGAAAGGGTAAGCAAGAAAGAGGGCTCACCCTACAGGCTGAGTTCTTCAGGAACTGGGCAGGGACCCAGGAGCCCCAATATTGGGTGGGAGGGGCCCAGAGAAGGGAAATATATAGTCACCATGTTGTACATCTCTAGGAGGCCACCTTCTTGGCAGGCCTGTAGAACCCATACAAGAACCCCCCTCATTTGTATCCCCAAGCCAGGTCACCCAGTACCCTAGATTCCTATGATGAGGCTTCAGTCTCTCTCAAATTGTCATCTCTTCTTCCCTCCCACCATCACCACCTCATAGACTACCACTGTCTTTTTTTGTGTGTGAGGAAGATTTGCCCTAAGCTAACATCAGCACCAGTCTTCCTCTATTTTATGTGTGGGATGTCTCCACAGCATGGCTGATGAGTAGAGTAGGTCCGCGCCCAGGATCCGAACCTGCAAACCTGGGCCGCCGACGTGGAGCATGTAGAACTTGAACCACTCAGCCATGGGTCCGGCCCCATACCACCATCTCTTGTCTGGACCACTACCCACAGCCTCACCAATGGTCTCCCTGCCTCCATAGCCCTACCCTCTCCTATCTATCCTTTACTAAATTAACAAAACAAATGAGTACATAAAACATCCTCCCTGAACCCCACCTCTAGGACTAAGAGCAGATTTAGTGAGTACATGACCCTGGTGGTATCTAAAGGGGGCAAACGTTCTGTAGCCAGAGTAAACTTTCTCAAGAGCAAATCTGATCAACTGGCTTAAAACCCTGCTTCTACCCCCTTAGCCTTCCAGATAAATTAGTGTCTCAGGCCCATCGCCCTCCCACCGGCCACTCCTCTTGCAGACCTAACTGTTATACTCTTCCAGGTCCGGGAACCCTCTTCTGACCCTCATCTGTGACCCCACAATTCCCAGTGCTTTTGCTTTTGAAAACATTGTCTTCCGCCTGACTTAGGGCTCCCTACTAGCAGATCACATTTCATGGAGAGCAGGGCCAGGTCATTCATACTAGTCTGTGAATGAAGAAAACAGAAAGCAGAGAGGCGTGGAGGGAGCCAGGGCCGGGCGTGCCATGCTGACGTGAGCAGCTCTTCTGACGCGCACGTCCTGGAGCCTCTTTGGAAGCCACCAGTCACGTACTCACTGAATCTGCTGCTAGTCCTCGAGGTGGGGTTCAGGGAGGATGTTTTATTTACTCATTTGTTTTGATAACTGGGAGGGGGCTCTCAGCACTGGCCTCGGAAAGAGTTCACTGAAACCAGAGCCATGCCCTCCCTGGACAGAGACAGTGTCCCCCTAACTCTCCCCTTCTCATTCAAATCCAGACCTAGTACCAACCCCCACATGTCCGGGGACTACAGATGGAACCTTCCTTCTCAGATGGCCAAACCTCTGAGGGAGGCAGAGCTCGGGGACTCTGAAAGACCACAAAGGAAAGAACAATGGGACCTGGAAGTCAGTGAGTACCAATTCTGCCACTAACTTGCTGTGTGACCCTGGAGAAAGTAATCTAGACTCTCTAGGCTTTAATCTTTGGCAACGAGAGTAGTTGGCTGACGGCTCCGGCCCCTTTTGGCCCACACTCCTGGGAGCTACCAGGCCAGGCTGGTCCAAGTCCAGCATAGAAACCACGACCATCCCCATCACTCCCGCTTCGGCTTCCCTCCTCCCTCACCAAAGAGAAAGAGCCTAACAGCTCTGTCTGCGAGATAAGGATTGCTGACTCCACAAACTGGGCCTCCCCGCCGCTGCCGCCCAGGGGACCTGAGGACAGACAGAAAACCGCAGCGGGGTGGGGTGGGGACGGGCAGGGGGAGACTGGGTTTGGGGAGCGGGGACTAGGGGGCAGGGGAGGAATAGGAAACAGCCTTGGGAATCTCTTCTCCCTCTAATATCTGCCCCAGGAGCTGTGAAGGGAAGGAACTGATACCTGTGGTTCTTTAAGTGATAGGTCTGGATCCACCAACATTTTCAGCCCTAATAATGATGGTAACAATAATAATAAAGTAGAGTCGAGTTAAAAGATAAGGGCTCTTGACCCAAACTGCTTTGGCTCAAATGAGAACTCCACCACCTCCTATCTGGTAGCTATGGAAGCCTCAGTTTCCTTGCAAATAATGGGGATACCCACTTCCCCCTGGGTAGTCAGGAGGATTTAATAAGATCGTGCCCTGCAGCCCTGACCTCAGTACCTCCATCACAGTGAGCACTTAATAAAAGTCATCTATCATTAACCTCATCGTTATTTCAAACAAAGCCTATGAATCCAAGCAGTACTTTAGAATCCCTTTGAGAAGCTTTTAAAGAAATACCAATGCCGAGGTCCCACCTCCAGCAATTCTAATTTAATTGGGCGGGGCCCGGCATGATTTAGAGCCAGGGGGGAAGGCCATTGTTTTGCACCATTTATTGATCACTTTCTCAAGTATCAGGCACTGTGCTAAACGCTTTCCAGGCGGAACCAGAATTAATCTGTTCACTCGACAGACGTTTTTGATGACTCCATTGCAGGCAGCCAGAATACAGGAGTAAAAAGACAGAGTCAGCCTTCACAGGATTTACGATTTCATGGAGAAAGACAAACAAATGATGAATAGGATTTCAAATCATAGATTATATAAAGTAAACAACATAGAGCAATGAGAGTGTCTGATGGAGTGGTGGGGTGTGCAATATTTTAGTCTGAATAGACAGGGAGAGCCACTGAGGAGGTACCCTTTGAGCTGATGTCTAAATATCAAATATCAAAATGAGCTGATGAGAAGGCAGCAGGGCCTGTAAAGATCTAGGGGACCAGCATTCCAGCCAGAGGGAACAGAAAGTGTAAAGCCTCGAAGGCAAGAAGAACTAGATTCTAATCCAGAGCTCCAATACCCCCAATGCTTCCCTGACCTTGACACACACAACTTCACGGGAAGGGGACAGGGCAGGGTCCCACTGCCAAGAGATGACACCTCCAAATCAGCCCTCCCCTATCCCCTGGGGTAGCGAGTCAATAATAACAAAGGTAGGGAACAACACTGATTACCGCTGGCTAAGCATTTATTTCATGTGCACTTTAAGGTAGGAGCTACAGGCACGTTTGCCTAGGTGGTCCAGCATTTGCTGGTTTGCATCTAGGGTGTGGACCTACACACCTCTTGTCAAGCCACGCTGTAGCAGGTGTCCCACATATAAAAAATAGAGGAAGATGGGCACAGATGTTAGCTCAGGGCCAGTCTTCCTCAGCAAAAAGGAGGGTTGGTGGTGAATGTTAGCTCTGGCCTAATCTTCCTCAAAAAAAAACCAGATAGGAACTACTACTAGTAGGGCCCCCATTTTGCAGATGTGATCAAGACTCCAAGAGGTCAAGTCACTTGTGGTCATCAGCCAGGAAGGAGGTGGCAGAGTTGGGATACAAACCAGGTTTCTGCAAGCGCAGAAACTATTCCCATCCTCTAAACTTCTCAAGGTCTCAACAGCCCCATGGCTTTGTACCTGGGGTTCACCAGGAGAGAGAAGCCCCTTCTCCCTGCCACAGCCCCGGGGATCCGCTGCCCCCAGTCACGGCACCTGGCACACTGTGTTATTTCTCACCTTGAGGGCACACACTGGATCGAGTTCCCTGTTGTTACCCCGGTGTCTAGCATAGCACAGTACAATAGAACTTTCTGCAATGATGGACTATTCTAAACCTGCATTGTCCAATAAAGACAGAAGCTTCTAGCCACGGTGGCTGAGCATTTGAAATGTGACTAGGGCAACTAAAAAACTGAATTTTTTTTCCCTTTTTTATAAAGATTGGCACCTGAGCTAACAACTGTTGCCAATCTTTTTTTTTTTCTGCTTTTTCTCCCCAATCCCCCCAGTACATAGTTGCATACTTTAGTTGTAGGTCCCTCTAGTTGTGGCACGTGGGACGCCACCTCAGCATGGCCTGATGAGTGGTGCCATGTCTGTGCCCAGGATCCAAACCGGCGAAACCCTGGGCTGCCGAGGCGGAGTGCGCAAACTTAACCACTTGGCCATGGGGCTGGCCCCTAAAAAACTGAATTTTTAACTTAAAAAATTTAATTTACCTAAATTTATGTGGCTAAGGTCTACAATATTGAACAGTGTAGGTTCAGCACACCTGATAAAGGCAAGATCCCCACCCCCAGTTTACAGATGAAGGAAGGGAAACCAGAGGGGGCAGGTAACGTAACCAAGGTAACACAGCTAGTATGGGGCAGAGGGGAGAGATCAATGGTGGCTGTTGGTATAGTTCCAGCTGAGGGGATCACCCAGAGCAGCAGGAACACTGACGACACACAGCCCTCTGGGTAGCCACTCAACAAGGAGGGCTTCAGGCAAGTTGTAAAAAGAGGATAGTTCCCTCAGAGCTCAGTGTCTGGTTTCTAATTTAAGCGTTCACTAAATGTTTATTTTTATATTAGGTTAGGCACTTGCACACAGGTTCCATCTAATCTTCATCACTTTCAGGCTGGGGCTGGGGTCTCTATTTTGCACACAAGGAAAGATTAAGAGTAAGGTTCCAACAGTTAAGCACTGACAAGTGGCCACTCTGAGATTTGAACTCAGCTCAGTCTGGCTTCCAAGGGTTCTGTCCACCTACATCTGCCTCTTGGAGTAGCCCCAGCCTTTATTCTTGATATCTTATCCAGAGCCTGCCATCCCCAGGACTTAGCTACAGACACCTGTGAAGTCACTCTGCCAGCTAGGAAGGGACAGAGACTCCCCTGTCCCACCCCATGGACAGCTGTGGTCTGAACCCAGATACTTGTCTGGGTTCACACCTGAGAGGGAGACACAGCCCAAGCAGACTCTGACCTCCAGCCTGGTGGGGAAGAGGGTGTGAGTGGTGCCATAAACTCCTATGCCCACCATGGGCTGGGCACTAGGCTAAGCGCTTTACACATCTGATCTGGCTGATCTCTCACAACAACCCGGGGGGAAATAGGTCTGATTACCCTTTCTTCAGAGACAGCTCAGCGAGGCTCTTTCTGAGTCCTGTTCCAGACGGCACAGCTCAGATCTGACTTCAAAGCCTGCACAGTTCACAAGGGTCAGCTAAGCCACAAGGGGCAAATGGTTAGGAGCCATTATTAGGTGCTAAGAACAGTGCTGGGGATGTGACCTACAGAGTGTTCCTAGTCTAGCAAGGGAGATAGGCAAGAAACGGCTGATTACACAACTGTTACACCATAAGTGGGATAAAAGCTCCTACAACGGAGAAGGGGGAGTGGAAGAAGGTATGCAGAGGGGCCTTATCTGGCAGGGGAGGAAAGGCTTCCTCAAGGAAGTGATATTTGAGGAAGTGATTCTAGAGCTAACAGGGCTCTGAAAACATACTACCAGTACCAGAGTGACGCATCTGAAGGCCTTGACCCCTTGAAAGGGCATGTGGTAAGTGAGGGGAGTTGAGGGGGCTGAACCTTTGGGTCTTCCCTTGGGCCTTGGGCTTCAGGCTCTGTAAGTTCAGCACCCTGTGGTCTCCTAAGGATTCCACTTAAAGCAGACATCTTCCCAAGGTCCTCTTTTCTTGAGAGAGAAGAATATTTAGGGCGAGTCCAGACATCACCAGCTTTTCCCTCTGCTGACAGGTGGCTTCCATCGAAAAGCCGCTCCCTCAGGGTCTGCCCAGACCACCTGGGGCACCCCCTTCTCCCCAGACTGCTTCCCAGGCACTGGCCCCCAGAGCGATGGACCAACTCTCACCTCAGGCAGAAGGCATGGGCTCTGGCAACCCCTGTGAGACACTCTGGGGGAAGGGAAATGTGCACTATGGCCGCATGCTAACAAGAGCCAGCATGTCTGATGCAGTTACAATGTTCCAGGCTCTTCGCTTGGCCTTTGCTTGTCTTCTCAGTCAATTCTCCCAACCATCCCTCGTAGATACTATCAAATCTCCATGGGAGGAAGTTGCGGATCAGAGAAGTAATCACTTGGCCAAGGTCACATGGCAAGTGAGTGGGAGGGCTGGGACGGGAACCAGGAGCTCTGCTCTGCGGCTCCAGTGCCCAGGTGCTCTCAATAAAGACCATTTCCATTTTTTAACAAAGACAGGAAACAGAGAGTAAAGTGACTTGGTCAAAGTCACCCAGTTGAGAAGCGGCAGGAGCAGGTTTTGTTCCTCCACGTGGGGCTCCTAAACTGCGGTGGGGAAGGATAAACAAGCTGACAGATAACACAGGACAGGGGCCGCCCGGTGGCGCAGCGGTTAAGTTCGCATGTTCTGCTTCAGCGGCCTCCGGTTTGCTGGTTTGGATCCCGGGTGCGGACCTACGCGCCGCTTGGCAAGCCATGCTGTGATAGGCGTCCCACGTATAAAGTAGAGGAAGATGGGCACGATGCTAGCTCAGGGCCAGGCTTCCTCAACAGAAAAAGGAAACGCAGGACACAAACCATCCACGGCTGGAGGTAGGACCGCCAGAAACCATGCATTTCAGAGAAGGGCAGCAAATTTTCCCAGGGTCACAGTTTAGGACTAGCACTTTGGCTCCCAGCCCCAGTAATACACTTGGCACCACTTGCACCATGCTCCAGGTCTGGAAACTAAAGAAACAAGCGAAACTCCCTGTGGTGCCAAGGACACTGGGAAATCCTAGAGACACAGGCCAAAGAATGAGCTACTCTGTGGGGTTAGTGAAGGAAGCCTCTTCATAGCTGTTCCTGGGCCTCGATTTTCGCATCCTGTAAAATGGGGCTATAGTGTAGCTCACAGTTTGCTAGTTTAGTCCTGAGGACTCAGAGAAAAGGTAAAACCCGGAGCCTGGCCTCTAGTTAAGTGCTTAATGATAAGATGTCTATTACCGGGGCGGCCCCCATCGCGGAGTGGTTAAGTTCTCAGGCTCTCCTTCGGTGGCCCAGGGTTTCGCTGGTTGGAATCCTGGGCACTGACACGGCACCACTCATCAAGCCATGCTGAGGCGGCATCACACATGCCACAACTAAAAAAATACACAGCTATGTACCTGGGGGCTTTGGGAGAAAAAGGAAAAATAAAATCTTCGGGGGAAAAAAAAAAGATGTCCATTACTGATGGTGGTGGTGATGGGGGGCGATGGGGGGGGGGGGGGGGGGGTGTCGGATCAGGCCTAGCCTTATTCCTAGCCGCACTGCAAAGGGAGTCCCTGCGAAACAAACTTCTGGGACCTCAGATCACTTAGTAGGGCGCAGCTTAATCGGCGCCCGGCTTCGGGAGCCGCGGCCAGGGTTTCCCCCTCTTTCGCCAGCTTTGCCGCCGCCTCCCCTCGCCGTGGACCCGACAGCATGCCAAAGCCCCGGAGCGCCCGCGCCCCCACCTCCAAAGCAGGGGTGCAGGTGAGGGCGGGGGACGAGGTCGACCTTCGCTGATCACTCTCAGGTGCCCCATTCCCGGCCCTGCGGGATTGGAGCAGGCACGTATCCTACCGAGAAACAGTCCCTCGGCCCGCCAGCCCCCGCCTAGAGGAAGGGACTCTGCGGAAGGGGGCGGGGAGGAGGAGTGGTCGGGCCGCTGCGGCTGGGATTTGCCTGGACTTGAAGACACTCTCGACAAGAGCCCAAACCCAAGATAACCTCCGAAGGCTCCGCTCTCATTGGCCAGGAGTCCGAGGGAGGGTTGGAGGGCTCCACAGCCCCAGGGGTAGGGGCCGGAGAGGGCCGAGGCCGCCAGTTGATGCAACCCCATTCCTGGCTTACGCGTTCCACTCCCCCTTCCCGAGTCCGGGGGGCGGAGGCGGGGGCGGGGGGGCTCACGGACTCAGCGGGGACAGCCAGAAGCTCGGACGAGGCTCAAGGGAAGAGTGGCGTCGCTCGGCCGTCGCTTACCTCCTCGGCCCCGGGGCCGCCGCCGCCGCCGCCCCGGGCGAACGGCAGGTAGCCTTTCAGCTCCGTGCGGCACTCGGAGTCCGCAACGATCATGGTGTGCTCCAGGTCCCACCGCGGCTCGCCGAAGGCCAGTGCACCCCTGGCGGGTTTGGACGGATGCACGCAGGAAGCCGGGACTGGGGCCGCTGGGGAGGTTCTAGAGCCCGGGCGTCTCTCGGGGTTCCAGAACGCTCCGAAAGCCTCGAATCCGGGCACGACCGCTGCTGCGCTGGACTCTCCTTTCCTCCGGCTTCTGGAGCGGTGAATGCCCTCGGGAGCCCGGGACTGGTCGCGGCGCAGGGGTTCTCACGGCCCGGAGTGCCCCTGGAGTCCGCAGTGGCCGGGGCTGCTTGCAGACCCAGCGCTCCTCAGCATCCCCGCCGCGGAACTGCCAGCGCTCGCCGGGCTCTGACACCAGCAGCGCCGCTCAGCCGGCTGCGGTCCCTGGGCGAGGGCGGGGACACAAAAGCCCCGCGCCGCAGCCAATCAGATGCCTGTTTCCCGGGGAGGCGGGGGCCACACCTCCCTCTGGAGCCGACAGCTGGGCCAATCGGCACCAGGAAGCGCCCGGGAACTCTGGGAGCTGTAGTCAGCCTCGGGCGAATGTTGCAAACTTTTGCAAAAGGGTTTAGTCAGATTGTTGGCAATACCCGACGAGAGTGACAGCCCGGAGAGTCATTAGAGCTGTGTGATGAAACGGGACTTCACCAGGATGGGCCGGAGAGCCGGGTGTGGAAATCCCTCGCAAGTGTGTTCCTCAGCTTTTCAGGTCCTGGAGGGACTGGCTAGGGTTAGGAGAGGTGGTGCTAATTATAGAGCTGAACGCCAAATCTTTGGAGATCTGAAGGCAGAGCCCGTTCCTCTGGCCTCCGGGAGGGCTCCACTTTCAAATGTACCAGACACAGGGAATCCACCTTATTTGTGGAGTCTCAGGAAAGGCCTCATTCATTGAAATGTCCTTGGCAACCTCATGTCTAACCTCAATCCCTGTTGCTGCGGTTTACCCACTTCTGCTCCCTTGAGCCCTCCCTGCCACCCCCCACCCGCTTCTAGACAGAAACTTTATGACAAGATGTTCCACTGGGTCTTTTCTCAGCTCTCTGTCTGGCCACTCCTTCTCTGACTCCTCTTTCTCCTCTCACCTCCTGGAAGGTGGGTGTTCCCCTAGTTTCTGTTTTTATCCCTCCTGTCTCCAGACATACTCATCCCTGATCTCATCCATTTCCTGGCCTTCAGCTCTCCATTTGGGAGTAAGTAGCCTCAGCCAGCACCTTAAAGCTGACTTCGTCTTCTCCTGTCCTCTTCCCACAGCCTCTTCCTCAACAGTTTTTCTTCAGAGCTGTACTCTTTGTTTCCATTTTAAAGTCACTGTTTACTCTGGATAGAGAATACTGGTAGGAACAGGGGTGAACTGGATGACCTCCGAGGTTCCCTCTGAGACTTTCTGAGTTTAGGCTTCCAATTCCAAAGACGGCCCTCAGACTTGCTCTCCGGCCTCCAGCCTTTTGGGTGAAGGAAGTTAATCTCACCCTCTGCTGAGCACCCAAGGCAGTGGGCAGGGGCTCTATTATAACACTTCTCGCACTCTACCTTGTATTGCAATTTTCTGTGTACATGTCTTATCTGACTCTTTTGATTATAAGCCCTTCGAGGGCAGGGTCCATATCTTGACATCTTTGTCTTCTGCCATATGCCACCTAGCACCATGTCCTGCCAATAATATGCCCTTGGTGACTGAATCCTCCTTTGAATTGAATTCCCCTCTAAATCACCCTATGTCAGATTCAGATTTCATTTTAAAAATCTACTCTGTAATGTCAATGTTTAGATCAAAAAACTTTACTGGTATTTTATCAGCTACAGAATAAAGTGGAAACCCCTCGGTTGACATTCAATATCTGCCAAGATCTGCCTCAACTATCTGTTCCAGTCTTATCACCTGCCACATCCATGTTCCTTGTTTGGCCTCTAACCCTTTCTTCCAGTAATTGTCTCTGCAAATCTCTGCCCACTGAAATCCTACCCAGCATTCAATGACTTCAAAATGCCACTTCCTATGGAAAGTGTCGCTTCTTCAGCTCAGCTGAAAATAATCTCTCCCACTCAACTCCTTATCACATTGTTTCTACGTTTTTATACCGCTGGTCTTCAAATTTGATGCAGCCTTGTTATCACGTCTGCATGACTTAGGCCTTCCCTCCAACTAACAATGAAACATGTTTTCTACCACTTTTGCAAAGTGAGGAAACTTGAGCTTAGAAAGGTAAAACTTCCTGTCGAGGTCATCTAATATCTCCTTTTGACTGCACCAGGCTGTGTCAGAGCTCCTTGAAGGCAGGAACTGTGTCTAATTGTCTCTGTATTCCCCTCTGGCACATAGTGAGTCCTCAGGAAATATTTTTGAATAAATTAATATGTTACTCTCCTCCATAGAATAACCCTTTAGAATCTTCAAGGAAGCAATTAAATCATTCTCAAGGCCTCACTTACAAAGTTAGTATTTTGTGAAAAGGAAAAGCAAGACATATTGTAAATTGAATGAACTTTTGTGACCTTAATCTCCAAGGAAGGAAAAGCTCGAAAGAGACATAGTTATTACTGTTTACTGAACGCCAACAATAGTCTAGGACACTTCTGTTACTCATGTAACTCTCACCACAACGTCTCCAGGTAGGCATTGTGCCCCATTTGACAGATGAGGAAACTGAGGTTTAAGAGGTGTGTTGGCCAAGGTCAGACAACCTAGTAATATACTGAGTAAGGATTCAAACCCAGGCAGGCATCACTCCAAAGCAGAAACTCCAGTGCACCACTGAGGAGAGAAGGACCTGAATATGTAAGAAGCAGGCTGGCACAAGACACTGATGTGTACAGAATTCCAATATATTAATTGGGAGTGAGAAATATAATTGTCAAGTGGCCCATAATTGATGGGTCAGCACATCCCTCTTTATAAGGGAGCCTCCATTAAAAAGACAAGTTACCATCTAAAGGTGGCCAGGGCAGCTGGAATCTGAGTAAAAGGAACCAGTGAAAAGATGAATCATTGAACTGGCTCCCCTGAGAGCAAAGCTGCTGGTCAGGACTCCAGCTCCCTCCCTCTCTCTTTCACTCTGTAAACATTTATTGACCATCTAGTGTGTACCAAGCACTATGCTGGGTTCTGGAAATCCAGCTTCGGTGAAGCTTCCAGATGGCCCCGTGACACTGGCTGGGCTTATTTCTCCCCTCCCCACCTCCCCCACGCCTTGTATTTTTGGTTCAGCGAAGATCTCCACCTCCTGTTGCCATACTCTCTCAACTCTTGCATCAGCTAGGCTGAAGCCACTGATTGGCCAATGCTTTTCTCACTCCTCAATGACATTCCAGTCCTGAAGATACCTCTAGATTGGATTTGAAACGTTGTTGTGGTTTCCTCAGCTTCAGACCCTTTCACAGATTTTAACCCTAATGGGATTCTTATCTGTTCTGTATTTGTTCTTCCTGAATTCACTTTCTAATCTCAAATTCTAGGATGCCTTTACTGTAATAGCTTAGTACCCCAACTATACTTGGGGCTGTGATTTTATCACCTCAGATGTAATTTTCTGAGCTCTCATTGTTCTCTCCACACTGCCCCCTCCCATCTCAGAATACAATTCCTGCCTTGGGGGAGCTTTCAGGAAAGCAGCCCAACTCCCACTGGTTTGATTAAGCCAAAGCCGACTCACTCTCCGTGGTCATTCACACATGCATTCTTTTAATTACTACTCATTAAGCAGGCATTGTGCTAGATGCTGAGGGAGGTCCTCAGGCTCCCGTGCTGTCAAGTCACACAATCAAAATTGAAATCGTCCCCTGGAGTTGTGCGTTAGGGGGCAAGACAACCACAGACTCTCGGAAACAGAGCCAACTGTCTGCTCAGAGCACTGCCCAGGAGTCAGGCAACTAGGTTGCTAGTTTTTAGGTATGTGACCCAAAGTGAATTTTTTTTTTCCAGCTCTTAGAAGCCAAATAGAAATTAGCTCTAACCCACCAGAGACACTGTGGAGAGGACTGGAGTGGGCAAGGCATATAATTCGGTCTCATCGATTGTGTTCTGAGGACAAAAATCTTCAGGTTTCATACAGCTCACTTCTCTTAATAAATAAAATACGAAAACGGACGAGCTGGGTGCTTTTAGATGATTCGCTAAGAATTCCAGTTTGGTTTTGTCGGCTAAGCGAGGCCTCAGCGCCCCCTGCAGGCAGGACCCTGCCACAGCTCAGGACGGACCGGGAAAAAAGGTGGATTGAAGGCGACCCCAAACCGTTTTCAGTTTATGGGAGTGTCAGGTTCCATGTTCCCGCCTGAAGGTCCACAAAAGAGGCCAGGCAACAGCTGAGTAAAGATCCTGTGGTTGCTGAGGATTCCCCTGAGGGACCAGACTCCCAAAAAACCTCCCAGCCTGGATGCACGTCCCGTTGTTCTGGCTTACTCCCTCATCTTACAGGCAGGAAGCCTGAGGTCAGAGAGAGAAAGGCGTTTGCCCAAGGCCCCCCAGAAAGTTGGCCACAGAGTGGAGACTAGGACTTCGGATCCAGGCCCCCAGTCTAGGGTCACTTGCACGTTAAAAGGTTGCCCAAGGAGCGTTACACTTCCAGAAAGAACAACTCTCTTTGCTCTGGTGTTCTCCTCTCCCTCTTTCCCTCTCTCCTCCGCTCCTAGAGGCCCCATACATCCCATTCTCAGAAAACCACCCTGAGACCTGGCCCTGGAGCAACGCCCCGGGCCCTTGCCACCACGCTGTCCCGCCTCTTCCTACCCGCCCAAAGACTTCCTTTCTCTTCCCCAGTCCCCCAAAAAGCTGGACTTGGAATCAGACTATCGGAGTTTAAGGTCCCAGTTCTAACCCTTTTTTTAGCTGTGTGAGCCTGGGCAAGTCACTTCACCTCTCTGAACCTCAGTTTCCTGCTGTGTAAAATTCGGCGATAAATTTGACCACAGAGCTGTTGTGACGACGAGAGCTAATGCATGCAAATCCCTCAATAAGGCTTGATGCAGATTAAGTGCTCAATAAGCTGTAATTACCATTTATATGGTTACTGTTGTTCTTATTTTAAAGTGTCTAGCTCAGTGACTGGCAGAAGAAGAAAGGTGGTTATAACCATTAATATTTAAAAGTTTGGAGGCCGGAGCCCGGCGTTTAGCAGGAACTGAATAAACGGTGGTTAGTATTGTTGCTTTTTCGACCCAAGGGCGCCCAGCACACTTGCAGTCCAAAAGTCTCCCCGAGCGAAAGCCGCAGCGCTCACTTCTTTTTGCTCAGCAACAGGCTCCTCATACGTAAGCCGCGGCCAATGAGCAGGGAGATGGGCGGGGCTACCTGACAGCCAATAGCAGCCCCCAGATGCGCGCAGGATAGGCCCAGACCGGTTTCCAGGCCGGTTAGGGAAGCTAAATGCGGAGGCTGTTTCCCGGGCAGGGAGTGTCTCCAAATTCCC